CTGAAACTGTAAGCTAGCTCCAATGAAATGTTCTCCTTAGTTGCCTTGGTCCTTCACAGCCATGAAACCTAAGACAGAATTTGGTCCCAAGGACTGGGGAACTGTTGTGATAGCACTGAACATGTTTTGTTTGGAGGAATGTGGACTTGGGGACTTTGGATTTAAAAAGCAATGGAATGTGCTTTATGGGCCAGCCCAGTAGGAATTATGAAAGACATTGTTGCTGAGTATTATTTTGTGGGAATCAAAATTAAAAACAACTCGGCAAAGACCACCAACAACCTGCTGAAGATAGCCATAATAAAAATATCAGGCCCCTCCAGGGACAGAGTGATCAAAAAGATAGAGACAACCAAGGATGACATGCCCTGACAAGCCCAAACATGCCCTGGTGGGAGATGGGCCACCTGGTGTTTTTCTCCCCTTCTTGGAGGTCTGTGGTTTCATGGTCAAAAATAGCAAGTCATCCTGCTCGCCAAAATGATTGCTTACGCAAATTGCTGATGTTTGAAATATCCAATTATATGTAACCGTGCCAGAATTTCCCGCTTTCCCCTTCCCCCTTGCGCCACTCCCTATAAAAGCCCAGAGTTTTCGGGAGTCTTGGCCGATTCTCTCTCCTTCGTGAGATGAGTTTTGACCCGAGGGACCTCGCCAGTAAACTGCCTCTTGCAAATTGCAACAAGTCGGTCTCTTGTGTCTCCTTGGGTGCGCGCTGATCGGGACTTGAGTCGGGGGTCCTTACAATTTCAACTGGCTTAAAAGGTTTCAGGGGAAAGGAATTTTAGTATGTTGCACGGAGATCATTCTTATGATGTTTTGGTGAAGAATATGGCTGCTTTTTGCTCTTTTCTGGGGAGTTTGCCTAAGGCTAAGATGAAGAAATTCAGATTAATTGCATTGATAACAGGAGTCTCAAATAAAGCAAATTTAGACTGTCCAGTGGTTTGCTCTTATGAGGGGCATTTTGATCAAGCATAGAAAGAAAAAATACAAAATATATGGTTCAAGTATTAAAGGGGCAACAGTAAATGCAATGGAGCTAAATCTTGTGTTCAGAGATATTAAATGGAATTTAGGGAGTGGTGACCTCAGGGCAAGATTCCACCCAGTTGAGCTTATTGCTTATGCATTTGCAATTGAACAAGGGATAGTTATATCATATTAGGCATTATGATGGCCTGGTGATCGTTTCATTTGGACATAAGGAGATATTCTGTGTCAAAATGACAAGGGATGGATTATGATGGCTATTCTCGGTTGTCAATTTGACTACATCTGGGATGAAATACAATCCAGAACTTAAAAAGATCTTGTGAAAAGGTAAAGAAATGCTCAAGTTCAGCTGTGGTGGTACACACCTTTAATCTCAGCATTTAGGAGATGGAGGCATACAGATATCTGAGTTCAAGGTCAGTTTACAGAACAGGTACTAGGACAGCCAAACCTAGGCAGTGAAAGATGTAAAAGAATAAGGGGGCCGGGTCCCAACCCCAACAAGCAGCAGAACTTGGCAGCTTTGGCCATGTGGCTCTGGCTTTAGAATCAAGAATAAAAGGAGTTACTGAACAATTGATGCTGGTAAGCTGCAGCTAAGAAATTAGTAGTGATTAAGCGACCAGCATCGAGGTGTGGGAAAAAACTCGTGCAGGGCACGCACTCTACCTGTGTCTTACGTGGCTGATGGCATAGGTTAAATGGAGATGAGACCGCATGTCAGGGTCCTGGGTTCTGGGAGTATGGCCAAACACCTGCAGTCTCAGGGTTCTAGGCCTGTGCCAACCCAAGATGTTCTACAGCCTGACAAGTGAGATCTTCTGGGAAGTGTTTTCTGAAAGCACAAAGACGCTGTGTTCCAAAGCTGTTGGAAGAAGGTTGTGCCTCGTGCTGGTAGCTGGAGTTAGTAATGTGTAAGAGTCACCCAGGTAGTACTGGTTTTGAAGGCATAAAGGGACAGGGAGAGCAGCTGAGGCTTGGCTCTCTGCGAGGCCAGGAAAGGCCACTGGTGAAGGTTCAGCCTCAGTTTCAGTTGACAGCCCAGAAGGGTCACCCAAAGAAGTTGAGGCTTGGCACCATGAATGGAGTCTATGAGAGGCCATTGGTGAAGCCTAGTTACAATAGAAGACCATAGGGTATTGGAGATGCCACTACCATGGGGTGACCACCAAAACCAGCAGCAGCAGTAAGGTAGAGTTAATCAGAGACTGGAGTGCTACAGAGGGCAGGGCTGGAGATGTGACCCAAGTCATTTGGAGGAGCCCAGACACTGGAACAAGACGCTAGGAAGCCGTGTTGCCTTGGAGACTCCAAGATGTTAGTGATGCAAGAGCTGTGGGATACCTGCGGAGGAAAGCTGCTAACAGGGAGTAGAACCAGCCCAGAAGAAAGAATTGTGTTGCAGTCATCAAAGCTGAAAGGGTTTGGACATCAGACAGAGATGTTTGGAGTTTGCCAGCTGGTTTTTGGCTTGCTTTGGTCCAGTATTTTCTCACATGACGTTTGGAAAGGTAACGTATACATTGTGTGAAGTTGGAAGTATGTAATCTGCTTTTTGATTTTACAGGGGATTACAGTTAAGAAATTGCATGAAGAAACTCTGCACTTTTAAGCATTGCTAAAATGCATTTTATATTATGCACTGGCTAGGTTTGGCCCCCATAGTTTTGGCTCATGTGTTTGAACAAGCCTACAGAGGCCAGGGAGTGGAATGTAGTGGTTTGAATATGCAGGGAATATCACTATTAGGAGGTATGGCCTTGTTGGAGTAGGTGTGGCCTTGTTGGAAGAAATGTGTCACTATGGTGGTGGGCTTTGAGTCTCCAGTGCTCAAGCTCCACCCAGTGCAGAAGAGACCCCACTCCTGGCTGCCCACAGGAGTCTCCATCTGGCTGCCTTCTGATTACGATGTAGAACTCTCTGCTCTTGCAGCACCGTATCTGTCTGCACACTGCTTTCCTTCCCACCATGCCAATAATGGACTGAACCTCTGAACCTGTAAGCCAGCTCCAATGAAATGTTGACCTTTTTGAGAGTTGCCTTGGTCATGATGTCTCTTCACAGCAATGAAGCCCTAACTAAGATACCCAAATAGACCACCTAACTAAGACCAGCACTAAGACAAAATCAGATAAAAATGGGGACTCTTGAATTCACCTCATGAAGCTGTCCTCACTGCTACTTGTTGATGGGTAGAAAACATTTGAAGAGGGCACTGATGGGATAAAGTGTCTAACAAGCCCAACTTCAATCATGTAGGCTGACCAGTATAAGCTCATCGTGGTTTTCCTCAACCTCACTTCTTTGTTATGAAGTAGGCCATGTCAGCTCCCTGCAGCTTCTGCTGAGCAGTACAAGCGGATGAGGGTTCTACCTGTTCTTTGTAGCACTGCATGTGCAGCAGCCTGCATAGTGCTCAATAAATTCCCCTGTAACAAAGAAAAAAGGGATATAAGAAAAACTAGTCCATGCACTAGAATGAGAGAGAGGTGGGCATTGGGAACAGAAACTAGATTAAAATTAAAATAATATTTTATCAAACTATACATATTATCAAGTCAGAAGAAATTTGAGTCCAATCAACATACAATTAAAAAAGAATTTTTCAAAAAGGGTCAATGACCACAACTGTTACTAAACAATAAATTATTAAATAATTTTTAACAAATAAAAAAGTATTATTAAAGAAAGGGTCTGGAGAGACAGCTCAGCAGTTAAGAACACTGGCTGCTCTTGCAGAGGACCTGGGTCTGATTCCTCGCACTTGCATGGTGGCTCACAACTGTAGAGAACTCCAGTCCCAGGATATTTGACATCCTCTTTGGGCTGCCACAGGCATTTCATTCACACGTCACATGGTACATGTACTTACTTACAAAATAGCAAACCACATACAATAATAAAATAAACATACTATTAAAAAACAATGTTTTTGAAACCTGGTTCCATTATAAAGTGCAGAGCAACCTAGAACCTGCTATGTCGCCCAGAGGGGACTTTTTACTCAAAATCTCTTGCTTCTCCTTCCCAAACGATGTGGGTAGAGGCCCACACCACCATGCTTGCCTAAGGAAGTTTTTAGAGCTCATTAACTTGCTGCTACTTTGTAAAAAGAAAAAAAAGTTAAATAAAATTACAGTGAACTCGTTTGCGGAAAAAAAAAATGTAAAATTTTTCCATAAAATCATAAGCTCAACCAGACTGAAGGTCTCAGCAAACAGAAATGTCTTTTGCCTCATACTCCTGTATATTGTTTGAATTTACTTTGTAAAAGTGAGCATGTACATTTCACATAATAAATTTCACCTAAAGGGGAAAAAAATCTCTATTTGTAAGTATTTTTTAAATACTTCAATCAGGAATTAATAAAATCTATCTTCGAGCCGGGCGGTGGTGGCGCACGCCTTTAATCCCAGCACTCGGGAGGCAGAGGCAGGCGGATTTCTGAGTTCGAGGCCAGCCTGGTCTACAGAGTGAGTTCCAGGACAGCCCGGGCTATACAGAGAAACCCTGTCTCGAAAAACAAAAAAACAAAACAAAACAAAAAAAAAAAATAAAATAAAATCTATCTTCTTGGAAGGCAGGCTTCCCCACTGATTATATGATGTACTCTTCCTAGAAACTTCAAGTGGCTAACATAAACTGCCTAAATTTGAAAAATAATGTAATAAAGAGGGGGTAGTTGTAAGAAACTTGAAAATCAAAGTAGGTGAGCCAGTGAGGACCCTTTGACCCAATTAGCTATGAGTCAGACTGTGAGGTCCTCAAGCTCCCACCAATGGGATAGGACCCAGTCACCACCCACGTCAGGAATAAAATACAGGAGCCCTGCTGGTCTCAGTGTGCTTTGCTAGCCTGGGTCTTCTGTACACTTTATGCAAAAAAGGAATAGCCTTGCTGAGCTAAAACCAGAAGAAAAGGAGAACAAAAATTTATCTTCCTGAATGATGACACATATATCAGGAAACCTACCAATAAACACTATCTTTAAAATGTGGACAAGCTTTCAAATTAATGTAATTTCAATACTATTTTTAATTGATACAAAATTATACATGCATCTTTATTATACACAGCATGTTTAGAAATACAAGGTCAATCTACTTTAAAAGAGATTTCTCTCAAAATTTTTTATAGTTAGAACACTTAAAACCTACTTTCTTACAAATTTTCAAAATATGATTCATTGTTCTATAAACAAGGTACACAACAGGTTGTCTGTAAAGCTTAACTGAAACTTTGTATCCTTAATGTATCCAACATCTCTTAATCTTCTAGCTCCTTTTTATACCACAAATAATTACCGTCTTCATTATTTCAATCAGTTCAATTTTTTTTTTCAGATTCCACGTGTGAGATCATTGATATCTGTCTTGCTGTGCCTGCCTAGCTTCTTTGATCATACCACACTGCAGGTTCATCTGTGTTTTCAACATGATTTTCTGATTCCTTAGAACCACATAGCATTCTGTCAATACGCCAGACTAGGTTTAACTGCTGTCTTTTCTGCAGACAGCAGCAGCACACTCTGAGGTGGCTCAGTCTAAGGCGCTGAACTGGAGCTCTGCAGAGTAAGCAACTGTTTGCTGTGATGCACATTATTTTCTTTGTCATCCTGTTCATCCAGTGCTTTTCTTATACAGCTCTTCAACTCTTCAATCCCTTCTCCAGTAACTGTTGAGATGGGAATGATATGCTGGAACTCCACAGCCTTCTCTGGAATCATCTTTCTTTCAAACAAATGCAGAAATTCTGAAACGAGAACAGGTGATTTTCATTGCCTTTTAAAAAGTTAATTCAAAACTGTGAAACTGACAACTTAGCATCTGGAACTCATTCCCTGTTCTTCCCTGTCTCATAAACTCTTGGGATTTGTGTTTTATTACTGACAGTGGTGGTTCTTAGCACATGGTCAGTACTGAGTAAATAACTGTTGGATGAATTTATTTTAAACAAAATGAAGAATAAATACTAGTAAATCATGACAATACTTAAAGAAATAATAAAAATTGCTTGAGGAGGCCAAATAAAATGAGGTAAACATCACAATGACATCACTTGGAACATTCTGGCTTACCTTAGTACACATATAAGTTCTAACTTCAGACACAGTATTATCACTATTTAAATGGCGGTCCCATTAAGAATTGCAGCACAAGGCCAACCAACTCAAAAGCAGACCATTTTCTCTGAGTCTAGTCATTCAATTAGAGGATAACAGACGCTGCATGGCTTTATCTTCTTCCTAACACCATGGCAGTCGGGGAGGGGCACAGCCAACTGCCGAGTAACTAAAATGGGTAGATTGAAAACATCCTGACTTCTAAGAGTTATAAACCTCCAAGAAAATCCAGAGAGATGAACCCAAGAATTGTGGTCCAGAATCCATACATGCTCTTGAGTTACCCTCACTTCTAGTACACCATCTGCAAGAGCAATAAACACAGTGAACTCCTGACCTGATAAGGCAAATGATGTTAACAAACGAGACTTTTAGGGAATATTTATGACCCAAGACTAACTTACTAACTCAAAGATAGTTCTAACATGTACATTATGTAAGGGAATGATTTTCAAGAAAAGAAAAATGATCTTGGTGCTGTCTGCTAATCTTAGTATATTAAAGTCTGTTTTCCCCAATTATCATTCTAATAACAGAAAGAAATCAGTATTCTTCAAAAGCAGATGGCCACTTGCCATTTGTGCATGAGTCCCTCTTCTAGACATCATCACCACAGGATAAAAGTGTTCTACCACACTCCAGTTTGCCACACTGTGAGAGTCCTTGTGGTGGTTTGAATAAGAATGGCCTCTGAAAGCTCATGTATTTGAATCCTTAGACAGCAGGAAGTGTCACTATTTGATAGGAGTAGAGAGACTAGAAGGTGTTGTTGGAGGAAGTTTGTCACTGGAGGTGGGCTTCAATGCTTTGAGAAGCCCATACTGGGCCCAGTGTCCATCTGTCTGTCTCTCTGCAGATGTCGCTCTAATCAGGATGCAGCTCTCAGCTACTGCTCCAGCACCTACATGAGGCTATGCCCCACGAGGATGTACTCAGACTCTGAAACTGTAAGCAATCCCCCAGGCAAATGCTTGCCTTTACAAGAGCTGCCTTTGTCAGGGTGTCTCTTCACAGCAATACAATAGTGACTAAGTCAGTCCCTCTAGCTTTCTTTATACAACGGAAATATTTCCATTTAGGAAATTCAGGCATATCCTTTTAGTCACAGACATGAGTCACACACACTACTTTCTCTGTCACATAAACACAGAACTAAATGTTCTTTTCTAAAGGCTAATATTCTTCAGAGTTACCAAGTTAAAGTAGTTAAACAGCAAAAACAACATCAAACATCAATAAAAAAAAAAAAATCCCTCTTTAAAACAACTGGCTCTGGGGGCTGGAGAGTTGACTCAACAGTTAGGAACACTGGCTGCTCTCCCAGAGAACAGGTTCAATTCCAGCTTGGCAGCTAATAGCTATTTGTAACTCTAGACCCCAAAAATCTGATGCCTTCCACTGGGCATGCACATAGCACACTGACATACACACAAAGAAAATACCCATATATAAAGTCTCAAAAAACAAAACAAGAAAAAAAATGTAAAACCTTACTACGTTTGTTAAAATACAGTGTGCACCAGAGACACAAAGTACAAGGACTGACGAAGCTACTGTGACAGAACTGCTACACTCCATAGATAGTTGCTGACGTTTCTCCTTTTACACACATTTTGGGTGGTTTGGTTTTGTTTCCTTTTAAAATATTTTATCTTTAGCTGGTCATGATAGTACACAGCTTTAATGCTTGCTCTCAAGAGCAGAAGCAGGTGGATCTCTGATTTCATAACCATCCTGGTCTATATAATGATTTCCAGATAGCCAGAGCTAGCTTATGATGCCATCAAAAAAATCAAAAAATAAAAACAAAAAGTCAAGAAACGAAGACTTTTATTTTATCTTTAGTTACATGTATGAATGGGAGTCTGGGTGCAGAGCTGTGTGTGAACACAGGAGGCATCGGATGCCCTGATGGGTGGTTATGAGGGAGGTATCTGACATGATGCTGGAAAGTAACCCTGGTCCTCACTAGAACAGCGTGTGCTCTCAGTGCCTGAGACGCCTCTCTAGGCCCTCTCTCACACCCTTTACAGCTCCATATAAATTTTAGTTTTTTATGAAACCTGATCTTTTCAGACCTAAGTAGTCTTTCTTTTCTTTCTCTAACTTTACGTACTCATTTTGAGACCAATAATGGCTGGTCAATGCTATTTTAGTGCTTCAAACATTATATGTTCTTTCTTTAAATATAGTTTCTAGAGTAGAAGACACTAGTTTTCTTTCCCATTGATTTTTTACTACCATCAGTCATACTAGTACATGCCTATAATTCTAGCACCTGGGAGACAGAGGCAGAAATTCAAGGTGATTCTTAGATAAACAACAAACTTGAAGCCATCCTAGGCTACAGGAAACCCTGTCTCAAGAACTTAACCCCCCCAAGCAAAACCATAAATCCCTGACCCTCTGCACACGGCTAGTGTTGGGGAACAGATGGAACTGAATGGATGCTTTACCTTCGGGGCTCTGGAGCTGCTTCATCAGTTCATGAAGTTTAACCTGGGCATCCGGCAGGTCCATCTTATTAACTGCCAAGAGTGCAGGTTTTGTCTGTAGTTCTTCTTTGTATAACTCCAACTCCTTTAAATAAAAAGAAAAACATACAACAGTATGAAGGTAATGGCAATCTTTCTTTAATAACCTGGTAACTCTACAGCCCGTTCATATCACCACAAAGCAATAAATCACAATAACTATAAAATTAACAATGCTTTTTGCTAAACCAGTGAATGGGATGTTAGCTCACACGACTCCTCAGAAACAGCTGAGTTTGTGCCTAGAGCCAAATGTAAGTTACTAGAGTCATATGCTAGTTGTAACAATTTCATATCTGTTGCATTCTTGGAAAAGGCATATGTACTTAAAAGTACATTTCAATAACATTGTGGGGCTAGCTACAGAATTAAAACAGAAAAGGTTGCAGTTTTTTTCCTTCTTCTTGCTTAAGTGGTTAACGTGACATTCAGTCACAGATGCCTAGTAAGCATCTAGTCTAAAGCATAAGCAAAAGATGGCTGTCAGTTACAGACTGAGCAGTCAGGAGCACATTCATTGCAGGCAATGAGAAACAATGGTAGTAAGGTAAGATTATTCAGTAACTCTCAGCAATGTTGCTTACATGGTAAGGAAAGTGCTTGGGAGTAGAGCTCCATGGCAGAATCCTGGGGTAGCACTCATGGTTTGATCATCAGTACCCACCAACAGAGCAAAGAATGTGAGGGACGTTCACAAGTGGAGAATGTTTCAGGAAAGATGCCAGAGCAGAAGCCAGACAAGATGTGAGGGGATGTGGAGCCAAGGAGGGCGTTGCCAATGTCACAGTTGGAGGAAAGGGTGAATAGTGAAGATTTGGAAACAGCAACCTTAACTTTTCAACTGATATAAAATCTTTAAAAAGGTGGGTACTCTGATTACTATGTGACATGCCTACAAGGTGGACTAGATCCAGAACACAGTGAACCAGAAAACTTACTTTTATAAGAAGAATTATAGTTTCAAAGGCAGTTCTATACCGAGTTACAGAAGAAAGCTGAAATCCAGATATATCAACCTAGAGAGAAGAGAAAACACAGAACATAAAAAGGTTATTTAGTCTTGTGCTTAGAAATGTTATTTCTTAATAATTTCAACAAGGAGTAATTTCTCAATCCAAATTTAACTGGTAATTCAGTCGTTCAATGAAATAACAAACTGCATTGTCATGATAACTACAAGCAGTACCATAAACTGAGTCACTGATGAAAGACTAGTATAGATAATTGATATCAATATTGATAATTTCATGTTTGACTCAAGCATGCCAACTAGACTGAAAGAGACACTACATAAGACTATGCCGCCAAAATCTCAAGGAATTAAGGTCTCGGTAAGTCTAGCCAAGTGTACAAACAGAGCAGCAGCAGCACTTCCATCCCCGTACTGTAAACAAGCATCGTCTACTGTACTTGGCCCACTGAAATAGACTCACAGGAGTCATATTCACTAGTACCGCCATGTACTGTTTAATACCAGGACTACATTCTAAAAACACATCCACTGATTTTATCACTGTGTGAACTCACAGAGTATGATCACTCGTCTAAGGTGGCTGTGGTGTCACCAGGTTGTAGGATCTTTTGGTACCACCATAAGATATGGAGCAGCATTCATCAATCATGAAAACATGGTTTTGTGGCAGATTATATTTAATCTTACTCACAAGGTATTTCTAGGAAAACCAAGTTAATCCATTTGAACATCACTGGTATGCATCTGACTTACAACAAAAAGCAGTTGTCTGGTTCTCTCTAAATGCTTGAGGAACTTGTGGCCCATGCCTTTGTTCATATGTGCTCCTTCTATCAAACCTGGGAGATCAGCTACTGAAATCTGATAAAAAAGAAAAAACATGAAACCAAGGTCAATTTTTTTCCCAAATTTTCAAACTTCATATACTTTCTAATTAATCACTCTATGACATCTTTGAAATAAATATGCTAAAATCTTTTGTTATCAGATATCTGTGTCCTATTTTAACTCATTAGTATACCAAATTATAACTATGGGGGTTAGTTTAATACTTAGTTAACAGTTACTAATGTAAGTGTGTAAGTATTACTTAGTGTGTACGTATGTGTGAATGTGTGCAGGCACTCGTGAACTAGAACATGCATGCAGACAGGGGACAATTCTCAGGAGTCAGTTTTATCTCTTGCCATCTGTGGGATCCAGGGATTGAACTCAGGTCATGAGGTCGGCATGTAAGCTCCTCTACCTACCGAGCCCTGTCAATCTTTAATTCTGACCTTGTGTTATGCTTATGTATTCTTTTATAGAACTATAACTCTGAATTCATTAACATTCACACATAGCAAATACGCCCATATTTTCTAAGTTTTACATTCCAATTGTAAATGACACCATTGCTCTTTTTCTGCTCAAGATATGCCAGCAGCATGATTGTCTGTTCTTACACAATGAGACAATGCAGTGTCCCATAGTCCTCCGATGGGTGATCATTATTAACAATCACTTTACACTTCTCATAGTCCTCCGATGGGTGATCATTATTAACAGTCACTTTACACTTCTCAAGCCTTGCTGTGTATCATATACCTGCTGTGTCATCCGGGTCACCGAGAGGGCATTTATTGCAAACAAACTGCCAGGCAATCCGTAAGACATTAGTTTGAAGTCTCTGGAGATCAGGCATCATTTGTCACTGTAGTCCCTAGCCCACCCAGATGGTTTGGGATGCAGTAAGGAAGGAGAAGCACTGTCACCCATATTGAAAAGGAACCCTGAGTCTGAGAGGAGTCTGTGGCTATATGACAGAGGTGTGTGCACAGCAAGGCTCTCACATCCTGAAATCTCCTTCAGAAATCTCCACTGATCTCCCTTAAACAATAGGTGTAGATAATGTTCTTTTCTTCTAATTATTGGTCATTATATTCAACAGATACTATATTCTGTAAGTTTATTTGGCATTTAGTACTCTATAATGGTTGATGTTTTATTTTTTATCTTTTTATTGTGTCTGAGAACTTCATGAACACACTTGCACACACCATTACCATCTAAGATCCATACTTTACACAGTGCTCATCCTTGATCTCGTATGTCCTGAAGGTTTTGACAAATGAATGACGCATCCGTAGTAATGGTGACACATGGAACAGTTTCTTTATCCTAAGAATCATCTGTGCATCCTCTACACATGCCTCCTTTCTCTTTATCTTGACAAAATTGAACTTTTCGTTTTTGTCATCATTTGCTTTTATTAAAGTAACAATAGTTGAAATTGGAAGAAGATAGTCTTTTGGCTTCTTCCCTGGGCAATATGTATTCAAGATCTTATCTTTGTATGGCTTCATAATCCATTAATATTTAAGATGGACTATTCTGTTCTCTAGATATAACACAGTTAATCCATTCACATCCTGAGAATCTTGTTTCCAAGTTCTAGTAACTATGAATAAAGCTGCTAGAAACACTGACGTGTGTACATAAAGTGACTATAGTTCTTCCTTAAGTATAAAGCAAACGTCAATGAACCGCTGCCTTCCCCCGTTTCAGAATCAGAAACTTGGAATTAAACAGTTTCACAGAAGTATCATAGTTTCTATAGAAAGTCATTTTAAGAACTAGAGATTAACAATTCACTGGGGTAGTAAAATAAGGGCATATACTGAGAAAATACAGACTAGGGAAGACATAAAGACATAATTCTGTAGAGATGAAGTGAACATAACAATTGGAAAGAGAAGAAATTTAATTTTTGCTTTACTATAATACTGTTGAGCAGAATTACTTCGTCTATAGTTTTACTTATCCTCCAACAACAACAATAATAACAACCACCACCCCTCTGTTTTTTCCTTCAAAACCGCAGACACATGTAAATATAAAAGTCCTACTACCAGGCAAGAGATAGATAGCTCAGTGGTTAAGAGCATATGTTTTCTTTGAGAGAATCAAGTTCAATTCCTAGCACACTGTCAGATAGCTTAGAACTGCCTGTAACTCTAGCTCCAGTGAATCTGACAGCCATTTGACTCATACAAAGACATACATACATATTTATAAATAAAATATATTTTAAAAAGTTCTATCAAAAACAAACAAACAAACAAACAAAACCCAAAAAACCAAAAGGAAAACCCAAAACAAAACCAACTGTATTTTAATTTAAAACTACCAACCTGTTTAAAATCATTGTACATAATCTTTCCAAGTTCAGGCCTTAGTGTTGTAACTGAAAGAAGAAATGGCAGTAAATTAAGGAAGGAATAAAAGACTAAATTCTCTAGAAAAATGTCAGTATTATATATAGATTGAATAATATCTATTTGCTGAATATTTAATCCCATTTTAATTTGTTGAAATGGGTATTACAGTTATCTCTGTCATTCATATTGTACTTTAAAAAAGACAGAGACTTATGTGCTTTGGTCTGAAGTCCTATTGCATGTCCAGTGCAGCTTGAGAATGTTTAGGGGCTCAGATTTAGGTTCTGATCACAACTACTGGTCCTGCAGTAAAATTTTTCTTTCTTTTTAAGAATTCATTACCTTTATGTATTTATTTATTCGGGGAAAGGACTTGTGCATAGAATGCTATGCATGTGAAGGTGAGAGAATACCTTCAGGACTCAGTTCTCTCCTTCTACCACATGTATAACTGACTGGCAGGCTTAGCAGCAAGTACCTTTCCTTTACCTGCAAAGCCACCACACAGGGCCTGGTAAAGTTCTCATCTGAGCTGTTCTTATGCCTTCTATTTCTATATCAGCCCTCTCCTAGGACTTTTTGTCTTTCTTTCTATCAAGGCTAATCTGGCTTGTCAACTTAACTGTCATTCTGTGGGTTTTTGTTTAATAATGGCAAATACTGTATCATATTCACTCAATACTTTTAAGCTAATCTTTCACTGTATCTCATCGAGCTACTGCATAAGTATACCAATTACTCATTCCAGATTCCTTAATGCTTTATACCAACTAATTTCTAAAGTATAGCTAAGAGAACTTTGGAAAGTCTATTTTATCCCTTACATAAAGTCTTCTAAATACTCTTAAGATGTTTAATAAGATAAAAGACAACCCATGTAGTTTATGGCATTTGATCTGATTTTAATCTCACTTCCTCTCTCCATCTCTTCATGTTTTCTAGACAAACAAATTTCCTGTCACTACTGAGCTGAGTACTGGCTCTTTTCATGACTTAAAGACCCTTTACCTCTATACTTAAGCCCTGATTAATCATAATCACTGTGCGTATCTCTGCCCAAACGCAGACCTCAGGAAGGCCTACCTACAGCAGTCACTGCTGCCCTTTAACACTGCCTTTCCGTGTATCTATGTATCAGTGCTATTCACAC